TGTTTACATTTGTGCCAGAAATTGCTTCCATTTCCTTCGATCTACTTTTTAAATAAAGACCCAGGTTAGAATTGGTCTTCAGCAACCCATGCTTGCCGTAAGAGGCGACGAACAGGATTGGGTAGTCAGGCTCGCCGATTTTGGTCGATGCATAACTTCATATTCCAGTTGCATAGTTCGATGCTCTTGGTGTCAATCACTGGATGATCTGGTCCAGACTGGATTATTTACAGGCGCCGTCATATGGCTGCAATACTGCCGAGTGCGGCGTTAAACAAGAAACTATTTTTAAATAGATCTACCCTATGCAAATGTATCAACTGTATTGCCCAATACTCAAAATAAATATTTATTTTTTTCCACAACAGCATTGTGTTTTTTGTTGTTAATATAATTATGCTCCTTCATGCCTTTCAGTAATATCATAATTATGCGTTTTTGAGGCATCACATATGGCGGAGAACTTTGATGCTTTGCATCAATGTTTTCTTGTACACATTTGTGATGGGGCGACAATGCGACAACGAGACATATTTTGACCTTGAAAATGTCGCGTTACGGCATCGTCGCCCTTATGTAAAATAAAGAAAAGGATTATTCAAAGAGCGACAATGCAATCACGCGATTGTCGCGCTTTTGTTAATTTTGACACGTTTTGCTTGTTTTTGTAAGGGCGTCAATGCCACAATGCGACAACGCGACAATGTCCCTTCCGTAGTGATCCGTGCAAATAAAACTGAGTTATGAAAATTAGTCTGACATGCCAATTAAAAGATAAAGTGTTGCAGCTTCTGATTTCATAGATCTTCAAGAAGGATTATCAATAATGGGATGGGTGATGAGTTCAACTGCATGCCGAGTCTATACGCTGTGATTAACAATAATGCTCCGAGTCAATACTTTTTGTCAAAATGTATGACATGTATTACGTGAATGAACATATTGTTTATACACGTCCATGTTTTTGACCGACAATATAATTTACATGCTGGGTAAAAGTGAGGACGGGAATCATTGTGTGTTTTCGTGCTTTGTTCAGGTGAACAGTTGACTTGTCCTTGCATGTGTTTGTGACGGGTGCCACTTGTGTGGCAGGATACGCTCACCTTTTCCCGAACACCCGTTGGATGGCCTGAACCAATTCGGATTTTAATCCCACATCAGTCTGTACACCGTGATATAACCGAAATACTGAAATACTGTACAGTTGAAAATGGTGTTTAATGCGAATACCGTAGTGTGTTACTGCAACTGTTCAAATGTCGTGCAGTGCTGTTATGTAATATGTAAAAGAAAGCATATTCAATTATCTAATTGATCTGAATAGAATATACTTGCCTCAGTGTATTTTATTAACGCCCCAAACCGTAATTTAAAAACATATAATAACAGATCATATGTACGCATGGTGCCTTGACTTACTGCTAACTTTGATAGGCCATCCCGGAATAAAATAGTCCCCCCCCCATGTTTTAGTATGTTTACAAGAAATATATTTCAAACAATATCCTCATTAGATGAGAAGATGTTTTTTAGAATTACGTCAGTAAGTCAATTACAATGACAGAGCGTCGTAATACATTTACATCAAGTACAATACGTCAAAATGGCCGACACGATAAACGTGACGGGAGATATTTCCGAAGTTGTTAATTAACCTGTGGCTATTTCAAGCCTTTGTCATCACTGATCAATTGGCCGATCGTTGAAAGTAGATTGTAAAGATGTGTCAAATAGATACTAAGGTAAATTCATAGATTGCTGTAGATTGTCACTACGATAGTTTGATGTTTTTTTCGTTTGTTTTTTCTCTGGGATGGGTTGTAGCGAGGGTATATTAAACGGGCATGCAACCACGCTTCTGTATGAATTCGTACCAGGGAATTCCAAGGGTTTTCCCCAGGAATGTGGAAGTAGTCAGTGTTTACGCCATTTCAAGAATACAGTCACGCGAAGAACGTCATGTGACCGACCTCTCGTCCTAGCCGTATATCTTGTAAACTTCACATTAAAAAATTAGTTATTATAACCAAATGAAACACAACCCATTATCCGATAGGGGTAACTGTTCATAGCCGAGGGATATGTTACCACAATAAACTTGGTAACATTGTTTGGTTTGACTTCTTGGCGCGTGCCTGAATTCAATTAACATGTTACATATCCTAAAACTGGCTTATCAGCAAATCTCGCTGCACTGCGCGCGACAGATACTAGAGCAAGGCATGCCAGAAATACGAAACCTAAAGCTTTCGAAAGGAAGCCTTAGGAATCACGTGCGTCGGGGGACCAGCGCCATCTGATTGGCCGTTAACAGTTGTACAAGGCGGAGCAAAAAGCATCGTTTTTCCGTCCATTTTACGCTTGAAAAACTCGGCCCTTCTCTGCACACTTTCCAGACGCTCACCAATTTTAATGAATTTTCAGTCGTTTTTCCGTCCAGTGACCATATACGGAAAAAACGACGTTTTCGTGTTTGCAGTGTCCTTTCTTGGGACATAAGTATGTCAACGATGTCTAGACTTGATGTCTAGCGAAACAAAGAGGTTCGGACATGGCAATAAACACATTGCCTGCATGTCATTGTCTATTGTACCATTTGCAAATAAATGAATACATTTCCAAATCAACGATCGCAGTGTCGGAATTGATACAGGGCTCAGTGTCTCAGTGAATTATTAACAGAATCACAGTTAATTACGTGTTGGGAATTCTGGCTTGTGAAACCACCCCGAGTGGATCAGATTAATGCAACGCTCGCTGCACTCTACTTGCAGGTAGAGTCAGGTTAAGAATTTTATAATGAAGAAATCTTTGAGAACGTATTCTTACACATCTGTCAGATCTTAAAATTCGTGTACGTGCATGTGTCATACATTCCCAGTCATTACTGAACGATATTCTTCATATAAATAAATATGTATGGTCGTATGCATGGTCAGGTACTTTTGATGTAAATGTTTTTTACATACATTTGGCAGGAAAATCTGGCTGATGTTTCATAAGTACTGATTTTCGTTGAGGTGGAGATTTATTTTGTTTTCTGGTACAAGTTGGAATCTCGCTTCGCAATCATGGTATAGTCTGTATTAGAAAACTGTTTCACTTAAAAGAAAATCAATTTGATGTTGAGTTACGACAAGTGGGTTTAAATTTATAAGTTAGTTATTGAATTTGTTTCAAGTATATAAAGAAATTTAGAATACACAAAAAAACACTCTAAAGTCTTGTAATCTGAAAAGTGTTAAACGTTTCTCAACCATTCCGTTCCAAGCGAGTAGAGGCCTAACACAGACGTAGTAAACAATTTTCCATACTTCCTTTCCTTTCATTATTACATTGTTAGATTTTGTTGTTGACAAGGTTAATGTTTGAAATATCAGTCCTCGTGTTACAAATATGTAATGAAATTAGAAAAAGACACACACACACACACACACACTCACACTCACACACACACACACACACACACACACACACACACACACACACACACACACACACACAAAAAAAAAACAAAACAAACCCCCTTTCATTTTGAACAATAACCTCACTGTTTTTTCAAAGTTGTATTAATAGCACGAGACTTCCTTATATGTGAGATTAGGGCGTTAACTCATTCGCCTTTCAGTTGTGTAACCAAACCCCAACACTTATTCCCGGGCTGATAATCTTAGCAGACGCAGCCCCGACTGCGCATGGAGGAAAGGTTCAAAAAGGCGCCAAAATGCAGTCGCAATAACATTCCATTTTGCGCGCGATGTCAAGTTGCCATATAAGGATATTCATTTCTATCCATTGTTCTTTGTTAATGAATGGTCCAGTAATTAGTTGCATGATTGCATTTGGTCAGTTGACCCTGTATTCATCTAGCACTTGTGACGTCATCAAATGATGGTGACATAAGGACAGTACCCATTCAACCCGTTGTTGACATAATGACACTACCAATTCCAGACATTATTGACATAAGGTCAATAGGTACAGTGATGACGTCACAATGACGTCATGAGAGGTGGTGGGAGGTGCTGGAGGTGCTGAAGTATACAATTTTATACTAGAATATCGGGGAGATCTTTCTACATTAAACTGTTCCTGGGCTTTTAAATCCTACCACACATATCACCCCAACGAATGGGCATAGAGAAATGTCTTCAATGCAAAAGGTTCACCAAATGTTCTCGAGCCAAAACGTACTCACAATGACATTCAATTCTGCGTGAGTCAAGACCCAAACCAACCCCGGTCGTAGTAACATTTCCATATGGGGACATTCATTACTATCCCGTGTTCTACGGTTAACGAATGGTCAAGTTATTAATTGCATGATTGCATCTGGTCAGTTGACCCTTTAATAACCTTATTGACCTGTGACGTCATGCATACATTTGCATATTAATGAGTTATTCTGTCAACTCCCCTACAATAGCTATTCAATTCAGTCTCAGTACCTTATTGACACAGGTGCGATGGACTACAATACCTATTCAACTCCCTGTTGACCTAAGGACAATATCTATTCAACTCACTGTTGACCTAGGACAATAGTGTGACCTCACAGATATCAAATGAGGTCAGAGGTCAAGGCCAGGTCATATGGAGGTCATAGGTCAATGACGTCATAGACACCTCATGGGAGGTGGTGGGAGGTGTTCTGTATCCACAAATATATCTACTGATACTAACTACACTGATCCGTTATGACTGGCACCCTGGTATATCCATGAATGTCTAAGCTAACAAACTATTTTGTTCTTTTCTCTTCAGGCATTTCTCATACATCTGATGTGTTTAATCAGTACGAACACAAGAGATATGACTTCACCCAGATACGGCATCTGCCACAGTCCCCGATAATCGTACAATTTGGAGCAGCACAACCAGTTTTAAAAAAATGCTTGCAGATTTTCTCAAACAGAAGATTTTCTACTCATGATGAGATAAATTGAACATAAACTAATGACATACTAAAACATTCAACAATGCAAGAAAAGTCTTACCTTCCCCTTACTGTCGTGTCTGGCTGGGCTATGAGATCATGGTACAGACTGATCACCTGATGTAATTCATATCCCTCACGTGACCACCAACCAGGGTTGTTGTGAATTGTTCTAAACTCAACTCAATTAACATACGGTTGTGTATTTTACAGGGTCTGGGTGCAGCACTCTACTGATTACAACATGCTTGTAAAGGATTTGATCTTGTTTCCATTGATAGTTATTTACCGCAACCTTAAATGGGCCTTCTTTTATAGAAGAACCTGGACAAAAGTGTTGGTGGAGAATCGATCTGAACATTCGCCAGGGCACAGGGCTGAGCACAGTGACATAGGGTGTTAGGTTTGTTGTGACTACCGATCCATTTCAATGCAGCTATTCACAGCGCAGGATCATATTTGCTTTTATTTCCGAAGCTTATGACACAATCAACCAAGTCACCGAGGCTGACAAGATTCATTTAGTCGCTGGGGACCTGTTCTAACACGGATACACCACGGGGACCGAGCTTAAAGTATCTATACTAGCCACATAAAGAAACTGTGCACGGAGAAAATATATTCTGGATTGAAATACAACACAGCAAGAACAAAATGATGCAGACGCTGTAGCAGCTGAATGATCGGACCATAAGAAAATGTCAACGGGACCTGAACAACATCTGTTACGATGACGTCAGAAGATCAAAATGGAGTAGGGGGTCAAACGACAAAGTCACAAAGTCAATAACGGGTATGACCACCCTGTGCGTGAATCATAGCAGTGCATCGGCGACGCATGGAGTCCACCAAATGGGCATGGAAGGCCTGGGGAATGGCCTGCCATATCCTCCGCAAGTCACGGACGTTATCTGGAGGATGTGGAAGACGACGCAGACGGCGCTCCATTTCATCTCACACATGCTCTATTGGGGAGAGATCTGGAGAATTTGCAGGCCATGGCAGTAACATGACATTGTTATGGTGAAGGAAATCCATTGCCCTGAACAACCACCAAAGGGGTTCGGTGCCGTGCTGTTATTCCACCCCAAATCATCACAGAGCCACCTCCAAAACGATTCCTCTCCACAATACAGTTGCGTGCATAACTTTCTCCCAAACACGTTGGCGCCCGTCACTGTAGGAAATGTTGAACCTCGATTCATCTGTAAAGACAACATTTCTCCACCATATTCGAGGTTGGCGAACATGATTTCAACACCATCTTAGACGGTTGACTTGATGACGGTGTGTCAGGATGGGACGTATGGCAGGGCGTCGTGGTCGAATCCCGTACTGACGTAAACGATTCCTGACATTGTTGGGATGGATACGGCGCAGTCCAGGAATTGTCTGGGACGTCGTTACTGCCGTTTGGAACCTGTGTCGGAGATGTGTAACTCGAATCCATCTGTCCTGTCTTGGCGTCGTTACTCGGGGACGTCCTGAACGTGGGTGGTCGGCAACGTCATTTGTGTTCTGATAACGCCTCACCAATGCCGATATCGTGTTACGATGGCATTGGAAATGTGTTGCCACCTGTTGTTGCCTCATTCCCGCTCGGATCATTCCAATGGCTTCATGACGCTGTGCAGCTGTCAATCTTGGCATGATTTGCTTGTGATATGCTTGTGTCTGCGCCTGAGAAGTTTTGAATTTTTGAATGACCACAGATCATGCTTTCCAAAGTGACAGCGAATTTTGAGTTGCACATGCTGTGTACAGCTGCATAGGATGCACGTGCAGTAACACATTGCACGTCCATAGGCCTCCATCAATGACGTCATATCGCATGGCACGTGCATGAGCGTTTGAATGTCTCCAATAATTGCTGTGTTCAAACCTATATTTCATATATGGACGGTGTGCCCTTATATCTATATTTTCTCCGTGCACAGTTTCTTTATGTGGCTAGTATATTTATCCGGAATTATACTTACTTCAAACATCCTATAAACAACATTATATGAATAAATATGTACACACTCACGAGATGGAATAATGACGCAAAGTAATACAATCTTAATAAAATATCTTCTTCTTAGAACGACAGGCTTCACACATTTACCAATGGGGGGAGTCTACCATAGGCTTCACGTATTTACCAATGTGGGGAGTCCACCATAGGCTTCACACATTTACCAATGTGCGGAGTCCACTAAAGGCTTCACACATTTGCCAATGTAGGGAGTCCACCATAGGCTTCACACATTTACCAATGAAGGGAGTCCACTATAGGCTTCACACATTTACCAATGTGGGGAGTCAACCATAGGCTTCACACATTTACCAATGTAGGGAGTCAACCATAGGCTTCAAACATTTACCAATGTGGGGAGTCAACCATAGGCTTCACACATTTACCAATGTAGGGACTCAACCATAGGCTTCAAACATTTACCAATGTGGGGAGTCAACCATAGGCTTCATACATTTACCAATGTGGGGAGTCCACTATAGGCTTCACACATTTACCAATGTAGGGAGTCAACCATAGGCTTCAAACATTTACCAATGTGGGGAGTCAACCATAGGCTTCACACATTTACCAATGTAGGGACTCAACCATAGGCTTCAAACATTTACCAATGTGGGGAGTCAACCATAGGCTTCATACATTTACCAATGTGGGGAGTCCACTATAGGCTTCACACATTTACCAATGTGGGGAGTCAACCATAGGCTTCATACATTTACCAATGTGGGGAGTCCACTATAGGCTTCACACAGTTACCAATGTAGGGAGTCAACCATAGGCTTCAAACATTTACCAATGTGGGGAGTCAACCATAGGCTTCATACATTTACCAATGTAGGGAGTCCACCATAGGCTTCACACATTTACCAATGTGGGGAGTCCACCATAGGCTTGACACATTTACCAATATGGGGAGTCCACCATAGGCTTCACACATTTACCAATGTGGGGAGTCAACCATAGGCTTCATACATTTACCAATGTAGGGAGTCAACCATAGGCTTCACACATTTACCAATGTAGGGAGTCAACCATAGGCTTCACACATTTACCAATGTAGGGAGTCAACCATAGGCTTCATACATTTACCAATGTGGGGAGTCAACCATAGGCTTCACACATTTACCAATGTAGGGAGTCCACCATATGCTTCACACATTTACCAATGTGGGGAGTCCACTAAAGGCTTCAAACATTTACCAATGTAGGGAGTCCACCATAGGCTTCACACATTTACCAATGTGGGGAGTCCACTAAAGGCTTCACACATTTGCGAATGTAGGGAGTCCACCATAGGCTTCACACATTTACCAATGTGGGGAGTCCACCATAGGCTTGACACATTTACCAATGTGGGGAGTCCACCATAGGCTTCACACATTTACCAACGTAGGGAGTCCATCATAGGCTTCACACATTTACCAATGAAGGGAGTCCAGCATAGGCTTGACACATTTACCAATGTGGGGAGTCCACCAAAGGCTTCACATATTTACCAATGTAGGGAGTCCCCCATAGGTTTCACACATTTACCAATGTGGGGAGTCCACCGTAGGCTTCACACATTTACCAATGAAGGGAGTCCACCATAGGCTTGACACATTTACCAATGTGGGGAGTCCACCATAGGTTTCACACATTTACCAATGTAGGGAGTCCACCGTAGGCTTCACACATTTACCAATGAAGGGAGTCCACCATAGGCTTGACACATTTACCAATGTAGGGAGTCCACCATTGGCTTCACATATTTACCAATGTAGGGAGTCCCCCATAGGTTTCACACATTTACCAATGTAGGGAGTCCACCATAGGCTTGACACATTTACCAATGTGGGGAGTCCACCATAGGCTTCACATATTTACCAATGGTGGGAGTCAACCATAGGCTTCACACATTTACCAATGTGGGGAGTCAACCATAGGCTTCACATATTTACAAGATCCGGGGTAGAATAGGTCTTCAGCAACTATGCTTGTCGTAGGAGGCGACCTACGGGGTCGGGTGGTCAGGTTCGGTGACTTGGTTGATGCATGTCATTGATGCTCATGATATCAATCACTGGAATGCCTGGTCCAGATTCAAATATTTACAGACCGCCGTCAAATAGCTGGAATATTGCCGAGTGCGGCGTTAAACAACAAACAAGCAAACATTTACCAATGTGGGGAGTCCACCATAAGCTTCACACACTAATTTGAAGAGTGATTTCACCATAGCGTGAGGAGTTGTTTCACCGCAAGGTTACCTGCCGCTCCATATGAAATGAATAGCATGCACGCCTTTATACTGTGGCATTCCGATAAATACCGTTATACTGTGATAAATATCACTGTACTGTTATACATACCATTTCACTGTTACCAACACAGTACACATTCCATTGTACTGTTACACATAGTATTGTAGTGTTACATAAGAATTGACTATCACTTTACGAAACTGCATGAACGTCGGATCTTGAATGAACTCATACAAAGTGAATGTCAATTCTGATATGTTTTCATATCACTACTTTATGTGTCTGTGTCGTACACATGTAACTTGCAGCACTTGTACATATGTTGTGTACATGTGTAAAAGAAGTGTTCTTCTCAACAGTTCTCCCACATACCTGTGAGTTAGTATTCATCTCGACAGTGCTCCGCATATCTGTGTGTGGCTGCGTAAACGTAGTGTTCATCTCGACAGTGCCACACATACCTGCGTTGTTTAGCTTACCGCAGGTATGTGTGGCACTGTCGAGCTGAGATGTATGTTCATGTATGTCCACCTTTAGAATTCAGACGTCCGTTTCACAAAATTATCGTAGCGCTAAAGTGATCGCCACTCACATACTTTAACTTGGACTAACGTATGTTGTTGCGCTACAAAACGATCGCCTTGTGGAACGGGGCCTTGCACCTCAAAGTTGACAATCATTGGCCTTTCTCTGTTATTTTTTTCTTCACTTTTACAGCTTGCATGCGTAGACATGACAGACAGCGTTTACATCTCAACTCAGCCTCTACCCTCGGCTTGGCACCCTATTGGAGTTGAGATAAATCAAGAGACAAAGAGTCAGTTCAATCCAACACTGTATAATGATGAACAAAAACAACCTCAACCGAGACACATAGGATCATACGAATCAA